AACCCTTCTGCTACGCATTCGGGAATCACCTCCATATACAGTACACAACCTTACTTGCCCTCGCTTGCCCACGAACCCGTTTGTTGGCCTGCTACACGCCGGAGGCTGTCGGAGCCGAAGGTCAGGTCGTAGCTTTTGGTCCTCGGCTCCGAAGCCGCTGGCGCACTGCTGCGCAATGTTTCGTTCGTAGACCCAACCCCTGTACAAATCGAAGTACGGGGGCACATGAGGCACCGAATTTTGCATCAATAAACGAGCCTCCGAGCAACATCCTGGGAAAATTACACGGAAGTCTCACGTTGCCTTTACGACTTTTAACCTTAGTGTATATTAATATTGTCATCTACTGCAGAAGGCAGAGCGGCAGGAATACCCAAACATCGTGCAAAATCGGAGTATGGAGGCACGTGAAGCACGGGATCCTGCACAAAATGATCCCGGTGATTCCACCAAAGCAGTCTCACGTTGATTTTTAGTGTGTTGTTCTTTTTTTGTGTGTTTCGCGCACCATTGTCGTGTCTGCCGGAACCGTGCGTCCTGGTCGCTGGGCCAGGGCTAGGGGTGGGAGGGCCTGCATCGTGCAGGACGTCTTCGACACCGAAAGCTGGGCGCCAGGCATGGTTCCAGCAATAGCGATCTCGATGCGCCGCGGATCCGCAACTGGCACATCGGACTCCTCGAAATCGGACACGACGAGGCTGAGGAAATTCAAGGATAACGGAAAGGAGTTCGAGGCGGCGGAGTTTTTTGTGGTTGCCTGGGCTTGGGGGTCTGTGGGCGTCTGCGTGTGTGTGCGGCAGGTAGAATCGTAGCGAGGAGCAAGCATGCGAGCCGACGTCGCCAGCACGAGACACCTGATGCGAAAAAACAGATTATGTTTCCAATCGGCCTTTCCCTGTTTTCTACAAATGTAGAATTGCTTGTTGTGTGTACATTGTGTACCAAACATGGCATACGAACGTGAACAAGTCGTGGACAAAAGACACAAACCAGGACTTCTTTGCTGCAGAACCAGCTGTGTGTGCGTTGCAGGGCCGGTGTGTCAGGGGCGCCTTGACGAAAACGGCACAGAGCCAATGGAAGTGTCAACTGCATCTGCCGACGGAGCACTGACGGCTCGGGTTGCGGTCAGCCAGGCATCTCAGTCTGCGAGCGTAGCACAGCACGGCCAGCAGGAGGGAGGCGGTACCACGTAGTCACAAAAGCAACGGTTCCGGGTACGCGACACACGGCACCACCAGCCGTGTCCCCAACTCGCCGAGCTCCAACCAACAGCAGCTGCCTGCGGGGGCTGCATGGTTCTGCAAACGATCTGCGCTGCGAGGGGGCATTACTCAAAGCTTCAGCTAGAAGAAAACGCCTCCCTTGCACCCCTACAAATATCGCTTGCAACTTGCCCCACGGGGGAAGATTCGAAGCAGGTGGTCGGGGCTGTCCGGAGTGTAGTTGTCCGGTGCTGTTTGGGGCGGATGGTCCGATCGTGTCCGATGAGTGCCGACTGCCCAGAAAGTGAAAGGCCGTGTTTAGGAGTGGCAGTGAACGACTGCGCAACAAAGCTGCTTGCATGGCTTACCAAACTGGGACAAGTTCCAATAACGAAGGTTACATAATAACATAACATTCAGCTTGTGATTTTAGATCATTCGCTGGCAGGCTAAACCCCAGACACAAGCAGGCTAGCAAAGAAGGACGCGCAACTACTGCCTGCAACACTCCGAGATTGATACTGCAACTTCTGATCCTAAGACAAGGCGTTTGAAGGTAGACTGACTAGCATCTTCGAGTTTCAACGACTTCCAATTTCTCAAGGTCCAACGTCTCTGCATCGGCAGCTCATCACTGGCTGACTCGTCTTTGAAATTCCTGCAATCTCGCGCCCCCTTGCTGATCACTCCTAAACCCTGAACAACCTGCCTCACCCCAGCTGAAGATCGGAGTTATTGGAGCCGGAATCAATCCTTTCTTCTTGCGCTTCCTCGTCGTTTTGAAGTCCAGAATGAAGGGCAGCCGCCAATAACGCTATGAGAGATTGCTGCAACCCGCAGTGTTGTCCCAAGCGAAGTGGACCAAGGGCCCCCTTGCTCCAAGCCTTCAGCTCGGAATATTCTGTGGCGGACCCACGCAGACCCCATCCGCGTCACCCCAATTGTACTCGGCGGGTTGGCCGTGCACGAACGGCGCAACAGCCGTTGTTACCTCCAGTTGTCTACGTAAGAGGGCAACCGTGGAGATGCAGTCGCCAGGCTGCGCCCGCCGTGGAGAGTAAAGGCACCGTGGGCGGAGGCCGCAAGCCCCGAAAGGACGTGCAAAAAACAACAACGGTTGCTTGTGGGTCGCTCTCCACCCACCCGAAGCATCACAAAGCCGGACAGCAACACCTCCTCGTGCTGGGGTCGTTGCAGTTTGGGATCCAACGCGAACGCTGGCCGCGGGATGGTCGCACCGCTGGCGGAGACAGTAGCAGCAGCTCGGCCTCCTCAGCCTTTGTACATCAACGAATGCACGAAGAGTACCGGCAGACGAAGAGTTTTTGCTCGTGACGTTCGCTCTCGCAGCCGCGGCCGATAAGCTGCATCTTGCCTCCATACTGTGTCATTGTCGTAAGATGATAGCACTGAATCCCACCAATCTGGCAGCTGACGAGGAGGGGTCTTGGTACTAACATCGTCTGCTTTGGCAAGCTCCGGCTACAAATTCCCCGATGGAACGGGAGCTTGCAGTGTCACGGCGACACTTGAAAAGGTCAGGACACAACGTCTAAGCAAAAGCTGCTCTTGGAGCACTCCGGCGCACTCAGCCAAATGCAGGTGGTCCGAGGCATGGCTGCTGGCGACGTCTGGCGACACGGTCTGCCTACCGGTCTCATGGACGTCCATGTTCGGTGAGGCCGTGTGGCCACCAATGTGCGAGGCAATCTGCGATATCACAACCATCTGCCACATTCGTCTTTTACATGTTCGTCCACGTTCATATCGGCGAGGGCTGCAGCAGCAGCAGCAGCAGCAGCAGCAGCACCTGCAACCTTGTACTGCGGTCTCGCACACAAGCACCGGGGAGCGATGCCTGTGTCGCAGCACGTAGTCAGGCAGTCTTATTTTTTTGCAAGTGGGCGTCCTTGTTGCGATTCATTGAGCGCTGTTCTCCTCCTTGTTCAGCCTCCATGCGCAACTCTCGCAATTTATGCAGCTGCCCGGTCAACTATACATCTGACACAGGTAGTAGAGATCTGTCTGCCCCAACATCTGCAAAAATTTCAGTGCAGCTCATATTCTTACTGGTGATACCCGAATCCCAGAGGGGGACCACACTGGCGTTTTGTGCTCTTTTTCCCGCGCATCCGCCGAAGATCGCTAAAATCTTGTCTTGCGTCGTAGTCTTCGGGAAAAGGGATGTTTAGGGGTCACGGAAGCATTCTACTAGACGCCCGAGCGCTTGCAACAGACCTTTGCTGTCCAAGGCCTTTGCCCTCGCTTCCGGCCGTGGAGATGGTTCCTGCAGCCCGTGACTCCAGGTCTTTGCACACCCTTTGACCTCTCGGGCGACAACATGTCGCAACTGCTACTCCAAACAATGGATGGGCGATCAGAAGAGCTGCAGTACAGGATGAGACTCAACATCATGAGGCACACGACAGAAAAACGCAAACGGTCAGAACAGCAGTGAACAGGCAGACTGATCTGGTATTGATGTTGACTGATGCTGCCGTGGATAGCCACGTGCGACACACTTCCCTGTCGTGTGCTTAACATGAGTGCAACGAATTCAAGCGATCGCTAATACATTTGAGATGAATACTGCTGAGGTTCGTGCCCATGAACGCTGAAGAGAGTGCTGTGAACTGAAGAATATCAAGAGAAGATATTAACTACACGCCAAAGATGGACCCAACTTGGCCGTGCCTTCATAGTGTTGTGCAAGAATGACAAGACGACAAGGGCAGCAGATGGTTTTGGCTAACCTGAAAAGATACCGGAATTCTCTGTTTGAGCCCTACAACTTGAAACATCACAAAGATAGCCTCATGTCACCATCCAACCCAATCCAATCCGATTCAAGCATCAGGAAACTCGGTCGAGGCCTGTGCCACGTGTCGTCGTCCTTGCAGCTTCGTGACCGGCACGCTGTAGAACGCCTGCAACCGCTGCGCAGCAGTGCTGGAAAGAGAAAGCTCCTAACCTCCGCTGACGGGCCTCCACATGATGGGCCTCACCTCTTCGTCGTAGAGTCGCCCATTAGTCCACGATGCCGAAGGTGACTGGGATCCTGACATTGGGACCGACTCCATTGCATCAGCATAACGTACTGCGTTCAAGACATGTCCGTGTCAGGTCCTGCGGGCAGGCAAGTGCGTAAAGGACTTGGAGGGCTGCGAGCCGCTGTCTTCGACCAGCTCCTTAGACTGAATCTTCAAAAGCGTGGGCCATGCATCGAATCGGGAGCACATCCTTCACTGTGCTAAACCAAGCAGATATTGCCGTACTTTCATCTGCCACAGTGTGTTGCTGGCTAATGTTGGCTACGTTGGCCTCGCGGAACTACACTCCCGATGGCCATGTCGTAAGCTACAGCTCGACACGTTTTGCACGACCAACACGATCCCGAAAAGCGGAACTTGGGGGTTTGCTGCCACAGAAATGGCATGTTCTTGCGATGTTGCGACAGGCACACAGCCCTCCAAAGTTCTGCGGAGCGTCGAAGTGCAACGGCACACCACTTCGCACAGGCTCCGCACGCAGCTTGGGAGGTGCTGCCTCGTATCGCGACAGCTAACGTGCTGTGGCTCAATATTCTACTCGTTCTCCTGCCTGCCTACCGGCAAGTAGCATGATCTGCTCTGCAAAAGCAGCATGTGGTGGTGTTGGCGGACATTTGCCATGGCGAAGCCCCGGCACCTCTGCCGTTGCTGCGAAGGCTGCTGCAGGATGCTGGCCTGAACAAGACATCGGATCCTATCGGGCAAGGAATTTCTGCCGAACAGGCTCGAGCTTTGAGCGCCAGGATTGGTCTACAATCAGGCTTACTTCACCAGTCCAGCCCGGCTGCCTGTCAGCGCCTTTGCCACAGCATTGCGGATTGCAACGTCCTTTCGATTTTGTTCAGCTTTGCTTTGCACTTCGCACTTCGGCATTGCGGCATGCGTCTAGCATTCGGGGCGAACATGCAAGCCTCCTTCCAAGACTCTACGCTCTAAGCTCAACTCCACCCTTTTGCAATCAGGCAGCTTGAATCGTGTCCCGCTCCCGCTCCACGTCCTGGTCATGACATGGGTTGTTTGCTCTCTGACTACTGCAAAATGCACAGGCAGCTCTGCATCCACAGAAGGCGCCGAACTGCGCCGAAAGCACCCCATGCTTCAACAAGCCGGCACGAACCCGAATCTGCAAATTCGAGAAGATCTGAAGGCTCTGAAGGCATCTCTCCTCCTCCCGTCGCCATCGGAAGCGACGACTGAGGATCGACAGCTTCGCAGGGGAGAACGTCGCCTGGCTGGGCTCAGCTGATCCCCGCTTCAAAAGCACTCCACGCGTGGCATCCAAAGGGAGCTCTCCCGGTGGCCTCCAGCGGAAGCTCCTGCAGAGCAGCCCTGACGGCGCGGCAGAGGGACCAGTTCAACAAGCTTCTGCTGATGTCTTTTCTGGCTATCCTTGAGAGGTCTGCACACACCCTGCTGTTCAGCTCTTGTCTTGGCGCTTGAAACTGCTGCAAGCTGCGTCACTAGTCACCAGCAGTCACCAGCTCAGCTCACCAAAACGCCTCCCTCGCAACAACCCGGCTGCCTTTCGCCCTCGGTCTCTGCAGCTCGCAACAAACATGCGCGTCGGCTGCGCTGGCCGATACACCTGCATCCGTGAATGTCTGCTCAATTTCCCGTGAGCTCTAGCGAACATCACTCTTGGAGTGGCCTGAGTTTCTGCGGGTTGAAGAGACGCTGGAAGGACTCCTCATTCCGGAGGCTCTCGCGACCGCAGATGAACCAGACACTGACCGCCAGCCGGTCCTGCACACAGGGATTTTGGCAGGCGGGAGCCTATTGGACCTATCAACTGCGCACCTTGAAGCTGGAGAGGACCTCATGGGGCACCTCCTGTGTGGACCAAAATACAACCTCAGTGGTTCAGCCGCTCTGAGTTGTGGGAGCCTGCATGCCTTCTCGACTCCAGTCCTCAGCGACAACCTGTTGCAGCCAGTCACCAGGCGGTTCCAGACAGGCTCCACGTCGCACTTCACCTCTCCACGGAATACCACACATTCACACATGACTGTCGCCCTTTGGACTCTCAAGATCGGAGCTCCAAAAACGACCCTGGCACAACGGCAGAAGTATCGACGCCGACGGCTCTTCACAGTGCAAGACGAGCGCCTGCCAGCGCCTGCTCCCCCTTGACTCTGAATGCTACTGACTACACTAACCTCCCTACTACTAGTACAGACAGAACTGTCTGACGATGAATGTCACATCAACACCCACTCGAGATCAGCATTTGGCTAGTAGCTTACAAACCTTGGACGACGTCTATCATTCACTAACACACAGACAGAAGGCACCCATGTGCAACAAGCTCGACGAGTTTATGGGCCCTACCTGGCAGCTCTGCATCGTCGGCTCAAACACTCGAAGGCATCCACCGTGCTCTGGTTTCCTTCACAAGCTCTTCACGCTAGAGTGCACCCAAGGAGAGGTGGTGCTAAAGTGCTACCGTCCGCAGTTCGAGCCCCGACGCTACTCATGCATCCGCTGTTGCAGAAGCGCCACACCCCGAACCATAATCGACATCGAGTACTAGCTTCGGATGCAAGCGTCCAGTCTTTGTTGAGGTAGAGCACAGCTGTAAGCCGCCTTCCTGTGCAAACACTCCGCACTGTGGACAGGCTACGGCTACAACGGTCCTCTGTATGCTGGACAAACTCCTACTGCCAACAGGGTATGCCAGTTTTGTACTTGGTTGGGTTTCATGCCGGATTATATATCGACAATAGTAGTCGGAGATATTCGGAGGTCTCGATTGCCATGAATGGCGGGATTTGGAGATGTGGCATTCGCTGGCCTGAATTCGGACAACAGGCCAACAAGCCAGTGAAACTCACACTGAGCCAATTTTCGGACTACCCAGTGGGCAAGATGACAACTGTCGCAAGGACACCAGAGCTGCTTCCGAAAGCTTTGTAACTGCGTGTTTCTATTATGGTTTGATCCTGTGCCATCTCTGCATGTTGTCAGCTAGTGGCGGCTATGTGTCTATAGGTCTGCCTACCGATGTATCCACCTGCTGCACATGAAAAGACCAACAATAAGCGACTGCCGGCATCTGCCAGTGCGCCGCTGAGGCTCCCACCGTCTGTTCCGAGAGTGTTATCGACATGCTTGATGTAGCGAGAGGAATCACCCGGGTAGATGGCGAACCTTTCGGACACACCATCACAGTATTCAGCCTCAAGCCACTAGGCGGCACACTGCCAGGCTGCTCAATGACAAGCAATACACAAACTCGCGACACGACACCGGCAGTTGTAATCACGCCAATGACGCGGACCAATGGAGATGTCAATGGTTCGAATCCGCGATGATCTGATTCACGTGGAGAATTCTGATGTAGTCCCCAACAACTCGACAGTCCTGCTCTGCACTCGAGCCTACAAACCTACGTAGAGAATTGAAGCCTGAAGCCCCGCCCCCCCCTCAACCACACGACCCTTTCTGAGCTGCTGTACATCGCTCCATTGGCCCAGTCAACATGCTGCAGTCGATCGGCGACAGCAGGGCACCCCTGCAGTCCTCTATATGGGTTTTGATCGATGATAGTGACGGTCGGTCTACCTTTCACTTTTCGGTGCAGACTAGCAAGTTACCGTCATGATCATCGCTACGAACACGTATTGGTTAGAAAGATTTGATTAGTCGTCGTTGTCGTCGTCCAGGGTAGTACTCGTAGTATTGGCAGTATTGGTAGTAATGGTGGTCCAAGTAATACTAGTAGTACAAGTAGTACTGGTAAGGGTGGCGGTGTGTAGGTGTAGGTAGTAGTAGGTAGTAGTAGGTAGCGGTAGTGGTAGTGGTAGTGGTAGTGGTAGTGGTATTGGTAGTGGTAGTGGTAGTGGTCGTGGTCGTGGTCGTGGTCGTGGTCGTGGTCGCGGTCGTGGTCGTGGTCGTGGTCGTGGTCGTGGTAGTGGTAGTGGTAGTGGTAGTGGTAGTGGTAGTGGTGGTCGTGGTAGTGGTAGTGGTAGTGGTAGTGGTAGTAGTGGTAGTGGTGATGAAGGCGCACCCCGCCCTAGCATGCAGTAGAGATTCGTGCAAGCGTTTGTGCTTCGAGCGTTTGTTTGCCAGTCGC